CTTCTTCCTCGCAGGGCAAGGTGGTGCCGGACGAGTACGACGAGCGCTCCTACTGCCTCTACGACACGGACGCCTCCACCGTGTACGGCGTCTGCGCCTTCTTCGTGCTCCTCCTGGCGCAGCTGCTGGTCACCGGCGTCACCCGCTGCCTCTGCTTCGGCCCCGCGCTCTCCTCCCGCGGCTGCGCCGTCGCCGCCTTCGCCGTCTCCTGGTGCGCCTCGCTCAACCCTAGATTCGGCTCGATTCGTGCTCTGTTCGTTGGGTGTACGGAGATCTGCTTCTCTTACTCTAGAACTACTATGACTTGGGAGTAACTCAAATTGTTTTTCTTGTGAGCGCTGAAAATTTTAGAATGCACCATGAATGTATGATAATACGCCCACTGAAAGTGAAACCACTCGCTGCCTGAACTAGAAATCGTAGATGCATACCGGAAAATCTGCGGCCGTCTTGTACTTAATCTGCCAGGACTGAATTTGTGGGTATCTCGACAGTCGACAACATTTTACTGCACAAGACAACATTTTGTTACACACTTCAGTTAGATTACCTTCTGACAAAATCCTCCAGCTTAGGCAAGGTTACTCAGCCTGCCCATTATAAGAAAATTTTATCCAACTTACACTCCTGTACGTTGTGACCCTGCAATCCTGCAGATTGATCTTCAGGTTGGACAATATTTCCCTTTACACTTGAATGAAAAACAGAGTACTCAGACCAATCCACTCCATTCCTAGTGGGATGGATGAAACTCACACTTGTTCTGCAAGTGTATGTTCAGTTTCTTTTAGGAGGTATGTTGCATTAGTGTGATTGTGTCAATGTTGGTGCCTGGTTGTGCCTAACCCTGTAATTTCAAGTTCCGTTGTTCAAAAGAGCAATTTATGTTTTTACACCAAATTCTGTTGGATCATAATAAATTCTTCCTGGAACTAGCCTGCTATCGAAAGGCTTCTCAGTGTGTTAATTCATATTCTAAAGTCCATTGATAAAAGCTCAAATTTGCTACCTGCATTTTCGCCTTGTCATCATAGCGTAGGCCATGCTATTCCCCCAGGCTTCTCTAGAACAATCATGTAAAACAACGAGCAATGCGTGTGCTGTTACCCACCACATGTGGTCTCTGTGACAAAGACAAATCAGTTTTCCATGTTTGTACCCTTGCCCACACCATCGCTGGACGATGGCAATCAACGTCATCATGTCACCATAATTTCATCTCTATCTCTATGCCCCCATCAGGCGTCAGCGCTTCTCACAAAAGCAGATAAGGCTTCACTAATGCGCTAATGCGTGTATGCAGTTACTCAACCTCCTCCCTCAAGTAGTACATGGGCCAACACAGCCACGACAATGAACAAAGATCTGAACATTTTAGCCTAAAAAAGATGTGGACATTTAGTTCTTTTTGAGGGAAATTTTTTTAGTCCTTTTTGGCAATGCCGCTTTTCTAAAGAAAAGTTAAGAGCTGTGGATTAGCTGGAAAAACATTTAGTTCTAATTGTATTACTAGAACTATTAATCGTATTACTTATCCAGTACTTGAAAAGTTGTCTTTTTGTACACGAGATGTTTCTAAGGTCTTCTGGCGTGCATATAAGTGTGTACGCGTGCTCGCTCTAGGTGAGATAAGACCAGATTCTGTAAAGATATAAAAAACAAAAGTTGGACGCACTAATTTTTTTCCGGAGTACCATTACAACTACTGATAATAAAAAGGTAAACCAATGGCGCCACATCCGTGGCATGTATGGCTTGCTTGTATGTTTAAGCTGCAGAACCAATTTGACAGTGCGCTTGTTCCATGCTCAGAGCACAAACAGAAAGTTATTTATGGGTGTTTTGATTCTTTTTGTTGAGTTGGGGTGTTTTGATTCTTGAAAGCAATATTTAGTGTGGAGGCTACATTCTAAGGTGTAGTGTCTGCCTGTCTGGTAATGCTGTCAGAACTATTGTATGTAAAGTCTATAAGTTTATTTCTAAACAGTAAAATGTATGAGCTTTTCTAAGAAATTTTTTTAATTAGTTAAATATTCTTTTATGTATTTCTTTTCATGTCTTGTTTTGATGTTTTCTTGTAAATCTAGCTAGCATTTCGTCAAGGTTCTGTTCTATCATGATTAGATCTTTGTAAGTCCTAGCTAGCATACTTCAGGGGCTTCAAGCTTGATCTTCTTAATTTACACATTTTCATTGAGGGTATTTAATGAAGTGGAACATACTTTTGTACTCTAGAGTGAAGGGTGACTAATCATAACAGTCAATAACTCTTTAGATTCTTGCACATCTGCATTTTCTGTTATGATTTTACCAAGCAGTCTATGTGGTTGGCATCACATACTGTCTTTTGAGCTTCCCTATTCTTCGGCACTTATTTCCATAATATTACCATTACCTCAAGTTTGTTCTTTTAAGTTGTCATTTTTCAACTTTTTATTAATTGGTTATTATGGAATCAATGGTTTTGTTACTCTCTGTTACAGTCTACTGCTATTTCCTACTAAACCCAATTCAGAAGTCTATACTTAATATCTGAAACCACGAGTAAGTAATGTAATCTGAGCAAAGCAATCAAGTAATTTATGAATTTTTTGTTGTCTTGGGAATGTTATGGCTTATGTAATTTATGAAATACCATTGTCTGGGAATGTGTATGGTGTGAAGAAAAGTGACTCGTATCTTATTAGGACTAAAGAAATGCAAGCAATGTGACAATCTCATTAGAAGCAGAGTAGCAATTAGGTGAACTGAGTAGATTATTATTACTGTGAGAACCTAATAATAGCAGGAAAAAGATTTGGAGAATTCGCCTAACTTCACTGTACAGGAAGTAATAGTCGACTTCTCCAAATCTTTTTCGTGCTATAGATTATTTTGGTGACATTGTTCCATTCTCTGTAATAATTGCTTACTTAGACTCGATACCCAGGACTGCTGTGCCTAAAAGGGTGTCCATTAAAACATACTATAGTTTTGCCATATGAGAAGTGTTGGTTGGTCATTATCATTCTGACAATGCCATGTTCACACTTGTTCCCAGGCTGACGTTCCTCGTCGCGGAGGCCTGCCTCGTCGGAGGATCCGCGAAGAACGCGTACCACACCAAGTACCTCGGCTACTACACGAAGCACGACCTGGTGAGCTGCGCCGCGCTCCGCAAGGGGGTGTTTGCAGCAGCCGCCGCCATGATGCTCATCAACCTGGCGGCCTCCCTGGTGTACTACTGGAGCTACTCGAAGGCGGCGGACGGCGGGTTCATCAAGCACCAGAACGAGGCCGGCGTGGGCATGACCGACTACGGCCTCGACAGGGGCGGCGGCCCTGGGCTCTGAGTGAGTGAGGCTTTGTGTTGCTTTGCTTGTTGTGAACTGGGCTGGGAGGTTGCTGTAACTTATGTGTGCCTGAAGCTTTGTGCTTGCACCTGCATCTGATGATCCGAGTGACGGAAACAGTACTGTAACTGCATCATATGTTTATGGTGTCGATCGCCTTTGGGGTGTACTCCAGAGACAATGTTGCATGAACTGTCATGGTAAAAGTAAAACATTGCAGTGTAATACTGCTTTTCCCATGCTGGTTTAGGTTTGCTTCCTTTTTGTTCGTGTAGGCCGTGGTGCTAGTGAGGTGGCTCATATGTTGTTTTATTTGATGTGTTGGCATTGTATCCATGACCTTGTAAACTCTGAATGTTTGCGGAATGAATGAGTCAGCCTTTGATAAAAAAGAAAGAAAGAAAAGATGAAGACTACAACATAATGTGGGAGCTTATCAACTCCAACTGAAAAAAAGGAAATAGCCTTTTGGAAAATGGAAAGTCTTGTTTGGAAAATGTTGTAGTGTACATGATGTATACAGGTCAGAAGGTTGAATGGTTTTGGAAAACGGAAATAGTCTTTCGTATGGCAGAAAATTAAAAATGTTTTTATTTTGGTACAAAGTCAAATCTTCAAGTGTTTTTTAGATGAAGTCAAATCTTCAAGTGTTTATGGGATTGTTTTTATTTTATACTTATATAAATGATGGACGCGGAAGCCCAGGTTCGTGGGGCTGCACTGTCCAGTGGGTTTCTTCCGGCCCATGAGCGGTCGAACCCCAAAACCACCACCACGCAGACGTGCGCCCATGAATGCATGAGTTCTTCCTCAAAAAAAAAAAAATGAATGCATGAGTTGTGTCGGAAAAGAAACCGAGGAAAATCGTGCGCCCAACTCATTCCGACGGGCGGCAACATGGACGTGGCGCCGACGAACTTTGTGCTCTGCTCTGCTATAAACTTGCATTCGCCTGAGAAGTGCCCATCGACCAACTCCGGCGTACGACATCGATCCACTAGCTAGGAAAGGAATCCACCTTGGAGGATCGGCCATGGCGAGGACTCCGGCGACCGTAGCGGCGGCGGTGGTGCTGATTGCGGCGGCCGCGGCCCAGCTGGCCGGCGCCGGCATTCCTGACCGGTACTGGCCGGCGCCGTCGACCCCTTCCACCGGCTTCCCGACGTACGGCTGGGAGAACGCCCACGCCACCTTCTACGGCTCGGACTCCGGCCTCGGCCACGACTTCGGTACGTGCCCCTCATAGCACACCCGCGTGACTAAGTTCATACGTTTTTCAGAATCGCGATTTTGTTGTACGATTCTATGACCCTACGATTCAGGCTAATTCCTATGATTCCATTCTATGATATTGGTTCATAGAATGTATGTTTCTACGATCGTGATAGTTAATATCCTATGATTTGTGATCATGCTATCGGACCTCCGATCCGATTCAAAATCGTGATTCTGACAACCTTGCACACACACACACGCATATTTGCATTGTGCAGGCGGCGCGTGCGGGTACAGCGGCAGCGACATCGCCTCGCTCTACTCGACGAGGACGGCGGCGATGAGCACGCCACTGTTCGCCAAAGGGGACGGCTGCGGGCGGTGCTACGAGATCCGGTGCGTGCAGTCCAAGTGGTGCGTGCCGGGGTCGCCCTCCGTCGTCATCACCGGCACCAACCTCTGCCCGCCCAACTGGTACCAGGCCAGCGACGACGGCGGCTGGTGCAACCCGCCGCGGAGGCACTTCGACATGGCCCCGCCCTCCTTCTACGAGCTCGCCCGAAGGGCCGCCGGCATCGTGCCCATCCAGTTCCGCCGCGTGCCGTGCGAGAGGAAGGGCGGTGTCCAGTTCTGCCTCATGGGGAACCCCTACTGGCTGCTCGTCCACGTCAACAACGTCGGCGGCGGCGGCGACATCGGCCAGATAGCCGTCAGGGAGACAGGCGGGGTGTGGATCCAGATGACGCAGAACTGGGGGATCACGTTCCAGGCCTTCTTCGAGCTGGACAGGTCCAAGGGGCTCCAATTCATGATCACCGGCGGCACCGACGGCAAGACCATCGTCGTCGGCGATGCCGTCCCCGCCTGGTGGAGCACCGGCCTCTGCTACCAGGGATCAAACAACTTCTGGTAGTAGACCCGTTCCATCCATGGCTACGATATATACTTGCTCCGTCCGAAAATACTTGTCACCAAATGGATAAAAGGAAATGCATCTAGAATGCATTTCCTTTTATCCATTTTGATGACAAGTATCTCAGGACGGAGGGAATATATTCCTTCCTACAAACTTTGATCGATTCACCGTTTGCAAGTGTTTTTGTTTCAGTAATTAATCCCCTCCTTGTGTTCTCGACTTCAGTTTTAATTTGTCCACTGGAGCTATCTCTGTAATTTTTTGTACAAGACTTAGAGCTTGATTTGTCTCTACCCCCATCTTTATGATACATGCAACACGTACCCTCAATTAGTCCACAAACAAAATGTGGACGCACTTTGCCATTCAACATAGACCTGTATTTGTTCGTGGAAGCGTCTACTTGCTTGTTTCAGAAGCAAACCTGCCAAAGTTTCACGGGAGTCCAGACATCCACATAACCAACCAAAACCCACCACGTGCTCGTCTCTACTCCGTCCGCGCAAGGTCGCTCCTATTACTGCTTCAGTTGAATGCGTGCGATCGTAACACCTGTTCCGGTTGAGACATATATATAGGTTCGAGGAGGACTCCGCAACTTGAGCTCCGAACAAGGCCATCCTAGATCCGTCAGGAAAGCCCATCTCATGGAGCCGATACAGACGCGGTCATTTGGGGAGGGGGAGGGGGTGTGTTGCTCTCCTAGCCCGGTTGGCATCTCTAGGTTTGTTCTATAATGGCAGCGAATGTTACGCGCCCAGAAGACGAAAAGGTGGACTACAGTGCCGAGGGTGTCAAAATGGAGCCTAGGTTCTAAAGACGGTGTACGCACGGACAAATTCGACTGTCATTCCAGACTTGTCAAAATTTAGGGTAAAACCACGGGAGGGGGTATCACCCCGCTTCCATGTGTGGCCTGCGAGAGGTGCCACCCGAGAGTCTCCAGCACAATTTTGCCTCCCACACTAGTAGAAAAAAGGCCTAATGTGAAGCACATTAGTCACGGTTTGTAACAAAACCGGCACTAATGTAATCATTAGTGCCGGTCCCAACGGCTAGGGGGCGAAGATCATTAGTACCGGTTCGTGGCGAACCTTTAGTACCGGTTCGTGCCACGAACCGATACTAAAGAGGTTGTTGCATTCTGTGGTCGGGCTGGGGCCCCACCAGCACCTTTAGTATCGGTTCATGCCACAAACCGGTACTAGAGGTTTCTACTTGATTCATTCTGGAGCGGTTTTTTAGTCACACCTCGCTCCGCTAACAGAGTTTTTACCACCTTAAATATGTTACTTCTCAAACTATCACAACCACTTGGTCTTCACTAAACTCTATGTGTAGAATTTGTGGCCACAATATGAGTCTTCTCTGGTTTCTAAAAACAGGCGAGGACTCATATTGCCAATTCAGATTGTACACAAAAAGATCATTGATGATCAATGTATTTTTGATGCATTTCTCTGTAGTAGTAGCGCGTTTTGGCTGAAAGGCGGTACTGATCAATATAGTTTTATGTATTTTTTTACATATTTACACAATTTTAATAACTTATTATAACTCCGGACTTTTTCTGCATTCAGATGCACAATTCAAATCCACGTCATCAACTTTCAACCCTTTTTGACATAACTTTGACAACGTTTTGAGAGCTAAATGACCGTGAAATTGAAAAGCACTGCAAAATAAACTCTGAAAAGGTTGAAACTTGGAAAGATATCATCATTTCACCCGCATATCATGTGCAAAAACGTAGAGAGGGTTACGGCAAAAACTAGATGCACTTCGTGTACAAACTGGACAATCTCTTTCGAAGTATCATGATTTTGGACGAAAACTCATCTGTTACACCGGTTATTCAATATTTTAATAACTTATTACAACTCCGGACTTTTTCTGCGTTCAGATGCACAATTCAAAATCCACGTCATCAACTTTCAACCCTTTCTGACATAATTTGCTATTTTCGATGCATTTACTGATTTGTTTTGTGACCTAAATAACTTATTACAACTCTGGACCTTTTCTGCGTTCAGATGCACAATTCAAACTATTCAAATTTAAATACAGCAAAAAACTACTCAGAAATAAATATATAAACCACAAAAGAAAAAACTATACAACAAAAGTTATTTCCGCGCTGCCCAGTGGGCCTGCTCGGCTTTGGGTCTGCTTATGCAGGCCCATAAGGCCCAGCAGGCTCACAGGGCAGCGCGGCAAAGTTAGGCCCAAAGGCCTGCATTAGAGAGGAGCTCGAAGGAGCAGCCGCGGCTGGGTTTATAAACCAGTGCGGCTGCCCTTCGGTCGGCGAGGTGGGACTAAACATTGTGCACCGGGGAAGTGGAGCGCACCCCCTTTAGTACCGGTTCCTGGCTCCAACCGATACTAAAAGGCGGGTCTTTAGTACCGGTTGGTGCCACAAACCGGTACTAAAGGGGGTTGCTTCCCACCGCTTGGCCTGGCCAAATTCGAACTTTAGTACCGGTTCCTGGCTCTAACCGGTACTAAAGGCCTCCCCTATATAAGCAGTACTTATGAAAATTTCAGTTATCATCTCTGTTCGTCTGTTCGTCGCGCCCGTCCCACGCCGCCCCCGTCGCCGTCGTCGTCGCCCCTGTCCATGCACCGCCCCTCGGCCCCGTCGCCGCCCCTGCCCCGCCCCCGGCCGTCGCCGCCCCCCCAGCCCCGTCGCCGCCCCTGCGCCGCCGCCCCCGTCGCCGTCGTCGCCGCCCCCGTCGCGCGCGTCCCGTCGGTGCCCCGGCCCGTCCCTGTCGCCTCGCATCGCCGGTCGTCGCCCCACTGTAAGATCGATCGACCTCGCGCCCTGGCTGGCTCCTTGCCGCTCGCCGGCGGCCTCTTTGCACATGCACACACGCACACACACAACACACACACAAATGTTTTATGTCAAATGTTAGATTATATAAATGTTAGATTATATAAATGTTAGATTATATATGAATTAGATAATGTTAGATGAGTTAGTTTTTTATACTTTTAGTTATATATGAATTTATATTAATATTAGCTGAATTAGATATATATATATTAAATTTAGGTATATGAGATTTGATCATCTAATTAAAATTTTAGTATATATAGAACTAGCTACTTTATTTTTAGTAAAAAAATTAATAGAACTAGTTTAGTTGAATTAGTTGAACTAGTTAGTTGAATTAGTTGAACTAGTTAGTTGAATTAGTTGAGCTACTTTATTTAGGTATATTTTTAGTAAGTGCTTAGTTGAATTAATTAGTTTAATTGGCTAGTTGAATTAATAGAACTAGTTTAGTTGAATTAGTTGAACTAGTTAGTTGAATTAGTTGAACTAGTTAGTTGAATTAGTTGAGCTACTTTATTTAGGTATATTTTTAGTAAGTGCTTAGTTGAATTAATTAGTTTAATTGGCTAGTTGAATTAATAGAACTAGTTTAATTAGTTGAATTAATATAACTAGTTAGTTTTTTATACTTTTAGTATATAGAACTAGCTACTTTATTTTTAGTAAGAAAATTAATAGAACTAGTTTAGTTGAATTAGTTGAACTAGTTAGTTGAATTAATTAGTTGAGCTACTTTATTTAGGTATATTTTTAGTAAGTGCTTAGTTGAATTAATTAGTTGAACTAGCTAGTTGAATTAATAGAACTAGTTTAATTAGTTGAATTAATATAACTAATAAGTGTTAAATGTTTCACCTATGAATATAGAAAATGTCGTCTGACGACGAAAATGATTTCATTATGTGCGAAAACTGCGAAGACCAACGCGGCCTGTGCGACAGAAATTTCCTAGTTGATGATAGGCGCTTCAGCATCAAGCTGGATGAGACCTTCGAAGTGGATATAAGTCACAACGACAAGTCTTTTTTCGTAATTAAGCATGACTTATGCTTCATTTGCTTCAACGTATTATTTTAAATTTTCACTATTCTACTAGCGTATCCCCTGCCATGTAAGAAACTTTTGTCTTGGATAAGATAGATTTCAGTCCTAACAAAACTATGGAGGTAAAGAGAGTTTATTTGAAGACCGAGAATGGTTATACCTTCAACGTCAAATTATACAATCAAGAAACCTACACCAATTTTAAATGCAAAACTTGGCAAACACTATGCAAGGCTTATGCATTTGAGCCTGATTTGTTTATCACCTTTGATATTCGTCCCGAAAATGATATTGAAGGTAATAAAGACATTTGGGTCGATGTGCAGACGCCTCCAGTTCTACCATTATGTGAGTTTCTCAATCATATTTATGTCTTCGATATTGTTTTTTCAAAAAAAGTTGACAACTAATTTCTATTGACAGCTTATTTCCATTCAAGCAAACATGTCCAGCGCTTGGTAGACAGGACCGTCCACTGTCCCGGGGCTGAACTAAACTGCGAGGAGATAAGTTATTATGTTTCATGGCTTGAGGATCTTGATACTGTCAAGAGAAATTATTTTCATGAATTTGAAAATCTTAGTACTCAAAACGTGCGACCAATAGTGACCGTATTGAGCTACGGTCACATCTATTTAGGAAAGATGGTAATATTTTTACTATTTTTCCTCAGTGCATCTTTCGCATACATTATTTTTTAAGCTAAACTTCATTGCTAAGTATGTTACTATACGATGTTCTTCAACAGGGACTCCCGATGAATGTTGTGCCTCAGTGGATCGAGACTAAAGGTCGCATGAGAATGGTTAGCTTACGGCCAAGACACCCTATAATGCACTTTAGTGCATTCAGGATTTCTAATAGCGAGAAATGCTTAATAGTGAAAGATTGGAGCAAAATTGTCCATGATCGCAGAGAAGTACTAGGGGGCAGCAATCAGAAGCGCAATCCACGATTAGGAGACAGGTTCATCTGCATGCTCCAATATAATAAATCAGGAGAGCTATACATGTTCTATGCTATTTTACCTGAGAGAGAGCAGCAGGAGTGATTAGCATGCTCTTAGTACTTGTCCTCTCATGTCCGTGTTCTTCGTCCTGAACTTAATCTCTCA